CTACTATTCCCAGGGTCTAGACAGTATCTGGCACATAGTAGACATTCAATAAAAATGCACTGGCTGACTTGCAGAGGCCCCCTCCTTTTTCATGCAAGCATAATATATCCTACATTATACAGGATGATTCTGGTATTTGTCAAAGCGGCTTAGGCTTCTCACAAGCCATATCATAAGCATGAGAAACAGCAAATTATCCTTTGCTCTCTGCACTGGCAATCAGAAGATGACCAGTCAGCTGGTCCTAAACATATTCCTCCTTCTAGAGTTGTGTTATCGTCCATTACTGAATGTAAGTTTATTTTAATTTTTAAAATAATTAGCTTAATTATTTTAATGAATTATATTCAGGGTTAATAATTCCTGGACTTTGTAATTTAATATATGGAACAGAATTCAGGGAGCCAAATTTTTTTTTAAGATTTTATTTATTTATTTGATAGAGCAGCAGAGGGAGAGGGAGAAGCAGACCCCCACTGAGCAAGGAGCCCATTGCGGGGCTCGATCCCAGGACCCCGGGACCATGACCTGAGCCAAAGGCAGACACTCAACTGACTGAGCCACCCAGGCGCCCCGGGAGCCAAATTTTATAAAGGAGTTTCTGGGGCCAGGAACTAAGCCATATATTTAGAGTGGAGGCAAGAAGTAGAAGAAACATCTCTGATACAACTTTGATCTGAGGATGAGGAATTCTCTGACAGTTTTCAGAACCACTTGCCTTGTTTAGAGTCTTGGCCACTCTCCTCTGCTGCCTGTTCCCGACAATCAGGTAATGAGTGCCACAAAATACTGGTTTATTTTGTTTCCTGTCAGAGAACTCAGTGTACTCTGCCATGGTTTTGGTTGTGCTTGACAAGTATTTGGACTCCAGACAGAGCAGGCAAATTCAATTCTTTGCGGACACATCAAGTCTTCCTTTGTCCCATAAGAAATGGGCTCATTAGAAATACATTACCTGTGGGGCACCTGGGTGGCTCAGCTGTTAAGCGTCTGCCTTCTGCTCGGGTCATGATCCCAGGGTCCTGGGATAGAGCTCCGCCTCGGGCTCCCTGCTCCGCGGGAAGCCTGCTTCTCCCTCTCCCACTCCCCCTGCTTGTGTTCCGTCTCTCGCTGTGTGTCTCTCTCTGTCAAATAAATAAATAAAATCTTTAAAAAAAAAAAAAAAAGAAATACATTACCTGCTTCTTAAAATTTTTTATCACAGATTACAAAACTCTGTCTGGGATCAAAATATCTTAACAGTATGTTCATATTTCTATAAAATAGACTCCACTAAAGCCTATAAGAGTGCAAAACCAGCATCTGACAGCTTCAGAACAAGTGAGGTTGGGAAATAACCCTATCCAAACTCAGTTTCTCTTCTGTATTTTCCTGCCACCCATGCTTATTTATACCTAATATACTAAAGGAGTATCGTGCTAGAACAGGAACTGGCAAGGTTTATCATCAAGTAGAGTTGCATTTGGGGAAAGCAGTTTACTTGGCTTGATGACTGATTGAGTTACAAATCACCTCCTATTTCCAAAAGAGGCTGTATAAAATGCACAAGACAGAGCACTTAAAATAAATGTCAAAAGGAAAAACCAGGAACTATTAAGAGGAAAAATGTATAACCAGTGACTATATTAATAGCAAATACTTATTGAGTATATATTATAGGTAACTAATATTTCTAAGAGTTTTCTTTTTTTATTGATAAGTAATTAACATACAGTGTTATATTAGTTTCAGATGCAATTCTTACATTGCTCACTGCTCAACATGATAAGTGTACCCTCAATCCTTTTTATCTATTTCACCCATGCCCCCACCCACCCGCCCTCTGGTAACCATCAGTTTGTTCTCTGTATTTAAGAGTCTGGCTTTTTGTCTCTTTTGTTTGTTTGTTTGCTTTGTTTCTTAAATTCCATATGTGAGTGAAATCATATGGTATTTGTCTTTCTCTGTCTGACTTATTTCACTTAGCATTATACCTTTTGGTCCATCCATATTGTTGCAAATGGCAAGATTTCATTCTTTGTTATAGCTGAGTAATATTACATATGCCACATCTTCTTTATCCATCCACTTATTGACAGACACGTAGGTTACTTCCATATCTTGGCTATTATAAATAACGTTTCAATAAACATAGGGGTGCATGTATCTTTTCAAAGTAGTGTTTTTGTTTTCTTTGGGTAAATAGTAGTGGAATTACTGGCTCATATGGTAATTCTATTTTTAATTTTTTGAGAAATCTTTATACTGTTTTCCACAGGAGCAGCACCAAATTGCATTCCCACCAACGGTGTAAAAGAGTTCCATTTTCTCCACATCCTCACCAACATTTGTTATTTCTTGTCTTTTTTATTCTACCCATCTGACAAGTGTTAAGGTGATAACTCGTAGTTTTGATTTGCATTTCCCTGATGTTGAGTGATATTGCTCATCTTTTCATCTGTCTGTTAGACGTTTGTATGTCTTCTTTGGGAAAATGTCTACTCAGGTCCTTGGCCCATTTTTATTCCTATTATTTGGGTTTTTTTGGCGTTCACTTGTATGAGTTCTCTATATATTTTGGATATTAATCTCTTATTGGATATATCATTTGCAAATATCTTCTCCCATTCAGTAGGCTGCCTTGTTTTCTTTTGATGGTTTCCTTTGCTGTGCAAAAGATTTTTATTTTGGTGTGGTCCCAATAGTTTATTTTTTGCTTTTGTCTCCCTTGCCTGAGGAGATACATCTAGAAAAATGTTTCGGTGGCTGATGGCAAAGAAATTATCACCTGTGTTTTCTTCTAGGAGTTAGTGGTTTCAGGTCTCACATTTAGGTCTTTAATCCATTTTGAGTTTATTTTTGTGTGTGGTGTAAGAAAGTGGTCCAGTTTCTTTCTTTTGCATGTAGCTGTCCAGTTTTCCCAGCACCACTTAATAGACTACCTTTTCCTCATTATATATTCTTGCCTCCTTTATTGTAGATTAATTGGCCACATAAGCATGGTTTATTTCTGGGCTCTCTGTTCTACTCTCTTGACCTATGTGTCTATTTTTTGTTCCAGTAGAATACTGTTTTGATTACTAAGAGTTTTAGTAATATGTTGATTCATATTATTCTTACCACAGCATTATTACATGGATACTTTTGTTATCCCCATTTACTAATGAGCAAGCTACAGCGCAGAGAGAGTAATAATGTGCCTGAGGTCACAGTGCTAGTAAGTGGCAGAACTGGAATTTGATTTCAGATAGTCTTGCTCAGAACCTGTGAGCTCAACTAGGATGTCATACTGCCTTCCACACTTTTCTGAGCTTCCAGGCAGGCAAGGCAAGACTCTTCAGTACTTTTCCCAAGTGATAAAATCTTGAGAAAATGATTGGATAGATTGCAATATGAGTGACATTTTGCAACATGGTTAAAAAAAAAACTATGATTAATTGCTGTTTTGTACAAGATCCAAATGTGTTCTTCAAAATAATATTTTTCACATAAACCCTAAATAAAAGGGGTTTATTTTTTTAAAAGATTTATTTATTTTAGAGAGAGAGCACACGAGCAGGGGGAGGGACAGAGGGAGCGAATCTTCAAGCAGACTCTCTGCTAAGCATGGAGTCCAACATGGGGCTCCATTTCACAACCTTAAGATCATGACCCGAGCTGAAACCAAGAGCCAGACGCAAACTGACTAAGCCACCCAGGTGCCCCAATAAAAGGGATTAAATAGTAACTCAGTGGATATAACTAACATGATTTGAAATCCAGATTTCCTAAGGTGAATAGGGTCAATGATTGGATGTGATTTCTGTCATTGATCCTTATTTTATTTGCATCTGTAACAGTCTGTCATTATCATGTTTATATATTTACCAATCTTTGTATTGCTGGACTCTTCTGCTTGAGGGAGCACGAGGATCTGTTTGCCTCATTCATCTGCTTATCTTCAGAACTTAGGGCAGAGTCTGGCAGGGCAGGTACTCAAAATTATTTGTTGAGTAAATTTATGAGTGAATGAATCCTCCAAAGGCAAAGAGTTCTGCCCAAGAACAGCCTCAAGATCCTTACAGTATAAATTATGACCAACATTACAATCTGTAAATTATGACTATGAGGAGTTAAGGAGTTCCTTAAGGAGTTACTGGCAGGGTAACCTTGACTGGAGGTGACAAGGCAGGGTGCTGATTTTTCTACTTGTTTTTTTCTTCTTCTTCATGAGCTCTGATGTCAGGGCCAGTCCCTGGAGTTGTGTTCTGCATGATCCACCCACCGCCATCCAGCAGATCTCGGGGGGGACCTGATGGGACAGACAGGAAGTCCGCAACCAGGCCGCAGCACTGTTTCATTCATTCAAAGCTCTCTACTGCTGCTTTCCATGCTGAAACACTGCAAAGGGCAGAGAAGGTTGAACAAGCAAGGCCAGGAGCAGAGGCTTTGTTAAGCTCTGAAATAGCACCGGGTGATTATAGGGGCTCTGTCCATTTAAGGCCGTTGCCAGGAGCAGAGAGAAAGAGCAGATCTGGGAGTGGCAAGCCAGATGCGGCCCTTAGGTCCTGGGCCTCCCAGAAAAGGCACCATGTGCTATTTGACATGCCACGTGAAGTGTCTGCCTCTAAGCCCGGGTTCAAAACAATCCATGGAAAGCATGAAATTTCCAGATCCTGCTATATACCCCACCTCTGTAATCCCTTTGCTTTAGCACTTACATATTATATTCAGATGTCTGTCTATTTAGGTGTCTGTCTCCTCCGTTAGACTATGAGCAATCTCTTGAGAGCAAACCATGTCTTACTCATTTTTTTTTCTGCCCACAATTCCTGGCATAAAGTCTGGCAGGCAAAGTAGGCTCAATAAATATTGATTGAAATGAATCGTGTTGTCAATAAAGTATGATGCTCTCACTCTAACCTTTTTCTGCATTCAAAACTCCTGGAAGGACCAGCAACATTTTAAATTGACTGCATTTCAGAACTTCTGAGAATGTCATGTTTTCTTATTTCTCTTCCTTTTCAGCAACCTCTTTCCGGAGTTTTAAAAGACAAAGAGAAGAATCATGTCCATGATTGCAGCTTTCTATAGTGGCAAGTCCATCCTCATTACTGGGGCCACAGGCTTCATGGGCAAAGTGTTGATGGAGAAGCTGTTTCGCACCAGCCCCGACCTGAAAGTCATTTACATCCTTGTGAGGCCCAAGGCTGGCCAGACAACGCAGCAGAGAGTTTTCCAGATCCTAAATAGTAAGGTATGCCATAGGGGAAGAGCCTTGGGGCAAGATGACTCACTACAGTGTTCCCTGACTGTCCCAGACCTGCAAGTGGGGGCCAGGATGCCTGGGCAGGTAGAGGAGAGGAGACAGAACAAGATGGCAACTAACAGCTCATAGAAATCTGTGATGTTTTCCTGTAAGATAAGAAAGGGTGCTTAGGCCCTGTCCAGGGCAGGTGAGCAGATACTCTATGTTCTGGAAATTACTGAGTAAGAATCAAAATGCTAACACCCCCCAGAGTGGACTCTCCAGGCTCGAAATCTGTCACTGTTCAACGGAACCCTTTCTGGCCTTTCTTCTTCTTTTTTTTAGGATTTATTTATTTATTTATTTGAGGGAGAGAGAGAGTGCAGAAGCAGGGGGCAGAGGGAGAGGGAGAAGCAGACTCCCCACTGAGCAAGGAGCCCAATGTGGGGCCTGATCCCAGGACCCGGGGATCATGACCTGAGCTGAAGGCAGACACCTAACCGACTGAGCCACCCAGGCACCCCTGACCTTTCTTCTAAATTCTAGGTAGTTCTGCCCCACCCCCCATTTTTGGACGTTCTATTCTATTCTATTCTGAACAGATACGATTAGTAAATAGCTGTGTGATAATACTTCCAGTTGCCCAAACTCTGCAATGTTTAGGTGTTCTACACTTGATCTGGGTAGTGTGGTATTTTTGTTATCCCATAGGTTCCTCTAAGGGGAAGACATGCAAAATGAAATATGATATGCATAAATGAGCATTTGGGTATCAAACCATCTCCTTCAAAAAAGGATTATGCATATCCTCCCATGTTTTACAAATTTGAAGGTAGTATTGGCTTTGGTCTCAAGCATATCTGAGCTCAAATTCTGGCTTTTCAATTCATTGTCACTTTACCTCGTAAGCTCCAGTTTGCAGTGTTCAAAATAGGAACAACCACAGAGACTTCCCAGGATTGCCACAGGAGCTAAATGAAAAAAGGCATGTGTCGGGTTTATAGTCCTCTTTGGAATATACAGGGTCATTTAGGGTTAGCAAAAGGAAAATTTTAATAAGAGATTTTTTTTTTTACAAAGGCTCCTTTCCCATGTGCAGGAAGGCTCATATCTAATGGAGGTGGTATCTGCTAGCCCAGCACACTGTAGATGCCCAGTAACCCCGCTGACCACATCTATCTGCAGGCACCAGGATGAGATTTGGGTACAGATGATCAGCAAGAGAATCAGGAAAGCTTCTCCTGTATCTCATGACCTGACTCAGCAGTGGGAAAATAATAGTAGTTGACCGTTACTGGGTACTTAGGACATGCAAGACACTATTCAAAGGCTTTTTTGTGCCTTACCTCTTTGATTTTTGTGAAGAAAGAATGATTCATATCCTCAGTGTTCATTTTGTAGATGGGAAAACTGAGACCTGAAGTGTTAACTTACCAGAGGTCACCCAGCTAGTAAATGAGAGAGTCAGACTTTAGATTGGCTCCCGAACCAATAACGCTTGCTTCTACCCAGCACCGCCTCCATGGTAACTAGTGGTTCTGAGTAAGACCAAAAGGCTAAGTGGCATAAAGCTGAAATCTAGAATAAACTCTCAGATCCCGCTTCAGACAGCTTCACTCAGTTACATATCCCTAACAGACTTTGTTTTTATCACAGAGCAGATATTCCCTTGTAGCTTTGTGGCCAGCTTATAGATTTCTAGGTAAATATTGTGGCAGGGAGTCTTGTGGTCAGCACAACCTTTACCTACCGTTCTTTTTGATGACACAGCAACATTGCTTTTGTTCTGGAAATCTTGACTGTACTGTATATAACTTCTCTGTAAGGCTGGCTTGTGAAATCTCTACACCTGTCTCCACTCTTGGGCTATTTATTGTCGGCTGTTGACCTTTGTAAATAGCGGTTCTCAAACTGTGGTCTCCAGACCAGCAGAATCAGTATCCTCCGGGAACTGTCTGTTTTTATCAGATGGTGCTTCCAGAGCGGGGGGCTTCAAGGCAGACTGACCTGGGTTTGAATCTCAGCCCTGCCAATTATTAGCTGTGGGACAGGGGGCAAGACATATACTTTATTGAGCCTTAGTTTCCTTATTTGTAAAACAGGGTAATACTGCCTTGCTTACCCAGGAGTGTCTGTCTGGCTGGCTGTCTATTCACCCTTCTCTCTCTCTCCACCCACTCAAGTCTTTCTGGATTCAGATCCAAGTCTGATATTATTAGGTATGGTAGGGCTTTAACCACTATCCCCTATGGCCTCACATTTTACTGTTAGGCTAATTAGAGCTTATTGTATCACTTTCTTTTCTCCATAAATTTTCCCTAAAAGAATTATGGGAAGAAAGAAATCTGTTGTGCATTATATGGCTAAAGAACTTAATATCTGTCGTTAAATGCCGTGTCTGCATGACCCTTTTGTGGGTTCTTTTTCTTCTCTTTTTGCCTTTTATAGTACTTTTATTCCTTGAGTGCCTTGGACATCTAAAGAATTTTCAGAAGCTTGCACACTATGTCTGATTATTTTTTAAGACAACATCTACCTCCATTCTATGTTGTCATTTATAACAGAAAAGTTTATTGCTAAAAAGAGCAGATTCTATCACCTGTTGAAAACAAGCCTTTGGTTAAGCAAATACCCACTTTCTTGGCACTATATGGAATTTAAAAAATGATGTGCTTTATTTCGGGGCATTCCAAAACTGAAAAGCTTCCACTACACAAATCATGGATTCTGCCCTCAGAATATGAGGACACTATTGCTGACTGCCGCTGATAAAGCTGTGTGGAAATAAGGGATAGCCCCCTGTCATTAGTTTTGATCTGTGCGACACCAGGTATTATTGCTCATAATCATTGTGAAACTAAAAATTCAAATAAAGACAAACCTTAAGATTATGTTTTTAAACTATGTGAATGGACGACTTTTGAACGGTAAACAAAACAAACAGAAAACTTTCCAGATTATGTTACTTTTTTTTTACTTAGAGCATGTCATCAGATACAAGTTCAGTTAATTTTGAGTTTTGAAACTGATTATCAAATTAAATAATTTGACTCTATTTTTATTAGAAATATGATACCAAGTATTCAGCATTATTATTTCTTTAATCTTCTAGTTTCCTTCCTAAAATATGAGAAACTTCTAAGGAAAATAAGATTTCATGTGCTAAAATGTGAATATGCTCATCACAGATCCAGGCTATTCAACTTGTGTGTCCCCGGGGTCCCCAAGCGGGCTGCTTAGTCTCTTACTTATGAAAAATGTGTTCATTTCATTATGAATCAACCAGCTTTTCATTGTAGCAAAACCAGTTTTAGAGAGATTGATATTTTATCCATTTTGCTGTCTTGCATATGACTTTGCTTAACAAGACATGGCTCTTCCTCACAATAACAGATAATGAGTTGCCAGTAAATCATTCAGTTGTCAAGTTCAAAGAAATGTTGAAAGGTTCTTTAGTGCCTTAAAGCTGTGTTTCTTTTTCCAACAAACATGTCCCATTTATACCCATTTAGGATTTTAAATTCATTATAATCTACTCTTAATAACTGTTTAAGAAAACATCAAGGAGACAATATCCATATTTGAAAAATAAAACCCCAGGTAGTTGAAATTGTATGAAGAGTGAGGTCGTTAATTAAGAGTAATTGAGAGGTTAGTATCTAAAAAATGTTTTATTGAGAGAATCCTAAAAAACGTTGAGCATCTTCTATTGAACTGTAGTAATCAAATAAGGGGAGGGTTGCAATGAGATTATGCTGGGTTTAGAATTAATCATCTAAGAAGACCAGGCAAAATACAAGATTTCCAGGGTGGGAGTATCTTGTATGATGTCACCAGGAAATGGATTTATAAACAAAGACAGAGCTTGGCAGGTTGTGCTGGATACTTCAAGCCAACTTCTCTGGAAAAATGTGAATTAATAAGCTCTCATTTGTCCATAGATAAATCAACTTTGAAATACCATGGAGAGCTGTAGTTAATGAATCATGCAGGGTCACACACTGGGCTCTTGGTTCACAGAACTAATCAGGTTTAAGACAACAGAAGATAGTAACATTTTATGAAATACTTTGTTGACTCCTTTCACAAAACTGTCCCTGTTTAGTAGTTTCTAGAATATATTAGAGAAATTAATCCCTGAGAGGAGAAATAAGGCACTTAGACGAATCAACTTTTGAACCAAATAACACCTGCAAAGGAAATGTCAGCAATCCGATGTTGTCGAGTACTAAGAAGCATCCACCAGAAATGTTCATTTCATTTTACGTACAAGTTCCTCGTTAATTTTCAAAGACTTTTTCATAAGAAAAAGAAGCGTTTCCATGTTTGGTTCAAGGCTACCCAGTAAAAGAGCTGCTTGTTGCCAATCAACTTCCAAAAATGAACTTCTGATTGACATTAATGGTTCTGTTAAATCTTTACACAAGGCAAAGGCAATTGGAAACAGAAGTTTGAATTTTAAATTCCCAAAGCCAGTTTTGTACCATTACTATTTTTTATTCTTCCTAAGAAACTATGCCACAAAAAGCAAGAGGCTTCTATGAACTTGGGACAACTAGAATGATATCATCTTGCCAGCAATTTACATTTCCCCATGATTAACAAACACACACTTTTAATAATAGCATAGCTGGCCTTCAATTTGACAGTTATTCAACTCAGATTAGTTGAAGCATGTTAAGCCTGCTTGCTGTGGGCCATTTTCTTTCTCTTAAGAAAAAAAAAAAAAAAGAAAGAAAGAAAGAAAGGAAAGAAAAAGAAGAAAGAAAGAAAGAAAGAAAAGAAAGAAAGAGAAAGAAAAAGAAAGAATGAGAAGAAAGAAAGAAAGAAGAAAGAAAGAAAGAAAGAAGAAAGAAAGAAAAAGAAGAAAGAAAGAAAGAAAGGAAAGAAAGAAAAGAAAGAGAAAGAAAAAGAAAGAATGAGAAGAAAGAAAGAAAGAAAGAAAGAAGAAAGAAAGAAAGAAAGAAAAAGAAGAAAGAAAGAAAGAAAGAAAAAGAAAGAATGAGGAG